GCAAAGAACTTATTACATTGTGCAACTCATTCGCATACGAAGTTGCTTGGTTGGGTGTGGATAAAATGTTAGTTGGTCTGCTGTGTCATCATATGAACCGGTCGATTATACAAATTGCCTTGTGAATGTGACAGAATATATACATTTCATTACAGAAATGTTTCCCAAGCTGTGTTACACAAAACAACAAATTCTGCTCGATGGTGTTTGGGGTTCTGTGAGAAATGTTCAAATATGATGGTGTCTCTAAATGTTGCAGTGACATTTGATAAACAAAATGCTTGTTGGAATAGTGTAGGGCAGATTAAATAATTGGAATGTACAATACTCTGAGAGCAGGATTCAACCTCTTCCCTCCCCCCAAGCTGAGTGAAATTGTAATTATATTCGAAGAATTCAACTTTTCTTTCCAGTATTTAAACCATTCCAACAGTTAATACGCAGTGTCCACGTGTCTTAGTTTTTCGTGTGTTGGTATAATTGCATTTTACAGAAAATTCTGGAGATCGCGACTTGGGAATTTGACATACGTATCCAATAATAAGTTCAGAAGGAAGTGTAAGTTGCACATCATCAGCAAATATTGAACATATTATTAGATTAATGAATTCCAAATCAGCCGCCCGTAGATAAGACGAGTTTTAAGCGTAGCGCGTCAGACTTCGACGTAGGCAAAATCGAAGATTGTTGTCGTTCTGAGTGATGACGGTGCATGTACTTACAGCAGAGTACCAACGTTTCTTCTGGGTTGTTGCGCCATCTTCAGGGCGATGACGAGATCATCTTCCTGACTATGGAGGTAGCAAGGACCTCTGAAACGTCGATAAACCTTTACCAGACTACACGTCGCAACAAACCAGAAGACGGCTATCTTCAGACTCACCGCCGTGAAAACCTCAAAACCTACAACATATCGTCGATTTTCGACATCTTCATTGTCGTGGGGGCCTCAAATCTCGGGAAGGCTGTTTTTTAAAATTGTATTATAGCGACGAAATGTATCTGTGGCTGAAAGAAGGAAATTTAAAGCGGGGAAAATCTTTCAGATGGTACAGTAACAAGCACTGATAAGAACAAGAAAATGATCACGATTCTTCTAAGTACGGAGGCAGTCAAAGGCAACATTTCTACATAGGAAGAGGGGGAAAAGTGCTTCTTACTTTCGTTGATAAGTACCGGCATATTTTATGGGTCATAAATTTGCATTACCTGTTGAGTGCAAAGTGGCTACTGAGATTTGCATATCTTGCAGATATTTTTACAAAATTAAATTAACTGGTTTGTCACTCGTTTGAAGTTGTAACAGTTTTCAAATGAAGAAATATATTTTTCCGTCTCTGTCACGGAAGTTACCATTTTGGACCTCATTCGTAGAAGAAGGAATCTTTTCCTCTACTCCTTATAGTGGATTTCCCGTTAAGATCTTTTGTTACCCGTGGTTATAATTGCAGTGCAATTTTATAGCCAATTGAATAAAAATTTCCTTGGATAATATCCATCGTCTAGTAAATATAAAACGTAAAACGACGTTTCGGAGATGGGACTCTATCTCCGTCTTCAGGTTCCTACACAGTTCAAGGAAATTTTTATTCAATTGACTCTTCACCATCGTCAAGAAGTTTTAGATTTGATATACAATTTTATAGCGCCTACATTATTTGAACTTTAATCTCTTAAAATATTTTCGTTCTACGAAATTCTTCAATACTTAGTGAGGCTTGAGGTTCTAACGGCAGCGAATTTGAAGATAGCTTTCCTCGGGATCTTAAGATACAGGTTGACGTAGTACAACTGATACATGACTTTCCCACTAACGACATTAGGAACCTGCAGTCGAAGTCATCTTTGAAGATGGAGACAGCGTGTTTTTCCAGAACGTATACATCTGTATACTGGAATTTAAAGGTGTACATATCGAAATTTATATAAAATCTGGTATAGGCTACGATTATCAAAGATAATATAGAATCGTTACGATGTAGGAAGTCGCTTGGCATGACATTTAGTTTAACTTACACTTGCCTTAGCATTTCTGTTGTTGTGTGTTGGAGTTAATGGAGGACGTGTGGGCGGGGAGTGTGGCCTTCAGTGGGAATGCTGCAGTGGGTGTTACACGAAACGGTGCGTTATATAAGTGTATGTGTCTCATAAAATATGTATTTTATTAAAACCTTCGTAGCTAATAGTCGCTGAGCTAGATAATACCTTCCCTGCCTTTGTAAGAATATAATATTTATCAGCCACTTTTATGCCATTTCACGTGCATGACAACAGGATTAAATAACCTTGTTTTGTGTTTACTTTTTTATAAATAATGCACACACACACACACACACACAGACTCGACGATCTTTTGTAAAATTACGATGCCATTACACATTTGAATAAAATACCAATTAAGTTACTGTGTCATTTGAGCTGAGTCGTTCCGAATATATAAATTGTCTGAATCAACTAATTACTGATTCATTTATAATTTTTTTATGTTATATAATATATGTTACCGTTCCTGTCGTATTTTCGTTTTTAAACTGAAATTCATGGCCAAGTTCTTGGAAGACAGCTTTCTCGACAGGTTTATAATATTAATTCGTCCTGAAGTCCGGTCGAAAACTGTATCTCGGTAACATTATGCCAGGAATTGAATGCGTAAAACCATAGATTTTATGTAGTTGTGTCACTTACAGCGTGAATGTTTGATTATGACTTTTCCGCTAAATGGCGCAGCGGCCTTGAAGTCTGTCTCGCTGATAAGTAATGTCAAGAACCTATATCAATTATGTTTAATTCTTTCATAACGTCGCAGTATAGTGGTTGGTATTACTGTTTTATATTCTGTGACTCCTCGTTTCGATTCTGGATCAGATGGCCTGCTATTCTGACTGCATTCATCGTGGTTTTCCTCAACACCACCATAGTAATAATGTTGTGGAAATGTGGATTGTGTTGTACTCGGCTTATGATGTGTAGTGTTGTAGGTGGTTAAAATGCTTTTCCCTGAAAATAGAGGAGTTATTCTCCTCTGAAAAGTTTGTAATCGCAGCTTTACAACACTGTTTTGTTATTTGAAAGAGAGGCCGTGTGGATGTTATACTTGTACAACCACACACTGAAGACAATGCCTGAAGGCTGAGGAGAGGGACTTTTTGGGGCCGAAATACGTGCTCTGAAGGTTTCGTACGGTAGTGAAAATGTCGATGGACTTCAGAGTTGTGACGCCGTGTGCACTAGTAGGTAGGTATAAACGATTCGGAGGAACATACCTTATTTTTTCCGGATTGTTTTTATCATCCTAGAAGACCACACGACATCACAATTCAGAAGACCGACATCGGTATAGAAGCTCTTTCTTTAACGCTGAAGAAAACTGTCCAGAAGGAGCGAGGGTCAAGTGGCGAGCTATTGTGAGCGCTGTAATGAACGTCCGAATTTCATGACAGGCAGGTTTTTTTTTTGGCTTGTTGAGAGATTGTCAGCTTTTCAGAAAGGGACTCTACCTTGTGGTGTAAACTATCCGCTGGGTGTATCTTACAAGTAATTCTATCATGAGACGCTAAGTAGTCTGTGTTACTGACAGCGTCGTTAAAAATCACAAATAAATGAAAAAACTTTTTATTTTCATATATGCATACATGGATAGAAACATACATGAACACGACACAAATGTATTGCACAATGGATGTCGGGGTAGTTCAACAAAGAAGCAGATTTCGTAGTTCCTGAACGTTAGCCCATTAATTACAGTCGATTTATATGCTAATCATATGCAGCGATATAAGCTTATATGTGCAGTAAAAAGTAACAAGAACCACAATTCTTTCCTTCTCGGACTTACACGCGTGTCAAGGAGAGCGGAATCTTCCCAATCGAATGGAACAGGAAACATTTTGGATCAAAGACTATAGGCACAGGAGTGTCTTTGCAGGGCGCTACATCGTAACTGGAGAGTACGTGTATCAATCCGATCTTGACCTGTATCAGCCCGAACCGCATTCCTGTGAACAGAACCACAAGCTCAGCTGAGGAACAGAGTTGAATCTAATAGGCATGAAGAAAGCCAGGAATTTGCTATATTACAGAGAAGACCTTTCCTTTTTGATTTATCGTGGTCACCTAGTGTTGGTGGGTTAGTGAAGCATAGGGCTGTCTCTACGATGGGTTAGACGCGTGGGTAAAACGGAGGGGAAGGCAAATGCAATAATTGTTTGATTAGCAAACCTGTTTGTAACGTCTCCTCGAAAGACTGAATTAAAGGTGTTGAGATAACATTCAAACGTTTCTTAAAGATGTATTTCGTAACAGACTGAAGTCGATGAAATCGGTTTAAGTCAGTGACCAGTGACGGGCTCTGGTTGAGTGAAGGTAAAACTAGTAGGATCTGAGGTTTTGACGGCGGTGAGTTTGAAGATGGCTGTCTTCTGGGTTGTTGTGACGTGTAGTCTGGTAGAAATTTAATTACGTTTCAGAAACCCATGCTACCTCCATCATCAGGACGATCACCCTCGCGCTGATGATGGAGGTAGCATAGCCCTCTGAAACGTAGGTGGACATCCACCAGACAACACGGCACAAGAACCCAGAAGACAGCCATCTTCAAGGTAACACTTGTGCACCTCTGCCAGAATATTAGGGTAAACTACTAGGTAAATAATTTGCAGTAAGTTATAAAGATATTAGTTTTCGTACAGTTTAATGTTATCACCAGGAAATTC